GGATTCTCCTTGATACTACAATATTGTAACATACACAAACAGGAACCTTGCTCTATATGGGTGTTTATATATATGTATCATATACATATATTCACATATATATATGATATATATATGTAAATGGAAAGTGATCCCCAAGGACTGAAGGAAAAAAGCAAAACTTATTTTGTATTCCAATATTGAAACCAAAAGGGCTTCTCTGAAGCTCTATAATGGCATTGTGCTGGATATCTATTAAGAAAAAGTGTTTTCTGAAAAGTGCTTCCTTTGTTAGCCTTTTATTTCAGTATTTCAGTGGGCCAGATGATGTGAATAAAACACTACTTCTGCATTTTTGGGCCCAYTTGAAGCAGAGGCCTCTTAATCTTTCCAGTAGTTACAAAAACAAAAACTCAGTTTATAACATTCCAGTAAAGTTGATACTGCARAACTAAAACATATTCTGGAAAAATTTCAAAGCTTCTGTTTTTGTGACAAGGAAGGCCATCATTCARTTTTCCAGTGTTTTGAGGAACTGAAATTTAACCAGTAACCATCCTAGACAATTGTAATCCAAATTCAGTAGTCACTGGTATCTCTGCATTGCCACCTCTGTTAAAGTACCAAAATAAACCCCAAAAAACAATTTAAACCAAAAATCCAGCCATGACAGAGGAGGAGAGGAGGTTGAGGCATTTCATAGCTCTGGAAGGTGGACTTAGCACCAGAGCAACTTTGTGGATTACAAAAAGCATGTTAGCAAGACCTACAACCTGTCTGTCCTTTTCCTTTTTCCAAATACCCACTCCCAAGAACCRTCACATAAAATCAGACCTTCAACTACAGCAACTTCTTAATGGTACTTTGCTGAAGAGAATTCTGTTCAGGATATTTTTTTTGGGGGAAAAAGAAAATACCATTTTTTAAAAATTAACATTTTACTGTATGTGTTCCACTCCCAAATGACTGTTTTTAAAAACTGTACCCATGTAGCTGATACAAAATTAGTCTGATTTTACTTGGACAGCACAGTAGCTTTCCTGTCCAAATACTAATGAATTTATTATTAGTAGTAATCCATTAAATTACTGGCAATGAATTGCTAGTAATTAATTTACTGTTGCTAAATGAAGAGAACAAGATATTTCCCTTTCCCCAAWTTTTTCTTTACTGCCTAATGTTTCTATGGGTATTAATGGTTGATGATTATTATCTTTGGTAAATCAAAGTACTAAAATCTCCCAGGAGGAGGTATTTTGCAATGCTGCTGGCCTTCCAATGGAATAACTATGATGCAAAAATCAATCTATTAGTGGGTGAGGATTGAAGGAGGTGGTTACTGCAAACTAAGTAACATTTTTGGCCTCTATTCTATGCCATAAACCCGCACAATGCCATTGTCAATCTGTTCAAACTATCTGCTTATGAATTCTGCATGATCCTCATGATAGAGTTGAAAGCCTGATCTTTCACCTGTTAATATTTTCACATTTGTCCTTAAGTTTGACAAATTTTGTACTGTAAAGTTGACTTAAGTACAGTTTGATGTCAATTCTTGTGGAAAGAGCTTTCTGCATGTAACATTAGATGCATACAGTTAAACAACACAGCATAGTACAAAAAACTCACAAGAAAATGTTTTGGCACCAGCAGGAAGAAATCTCACCCTAACCATTTGTCATTTTAAAACCATCTTATTGTAATTTTTACCAGCTACTTCTAAATTTGTGCTTTATTTAAAGAAATAAAATAAAAATCCTAAGACTTGTCTAGCGTAGTGAAATATGTGTATATCAGTTTTAGGATAAATAGCTAAGTCTTATTACGCTGTGTTACTTAACTTGTATATATAGAGTATACATAAGAGTTTGCAGTAACCTGTTTCTCCAGGATTTCCAGTTGGAATGGATTTAAACTCAAACTATGAGATTAAGTAAATGATTTAGAAGATTGCAGATTAAACTGAGTGTAAATTACAGGAAGCTCTATCAGATGGTGAAATAATTTTTAAAGAGTCTTTTGGTCCTTGGCTCAAATTCACTAAGTACTGTTTGTATACCAAGATATGTGAAATGTAAATGTTGTAGGTTATATTTCACTCTTGTAGCTATAAAAATGTAGAACAGAGATAGCTTGTACTACTGAGTTAACAAAAGTTATACTAAAGTATCCTGTTAAAGAAAAAAGTATACAGAGAGTTAAGCTCGTTGCTGTAACCCCTTTTGGATTGAAGTGTGCTGATTTTTTATATATGTACATTTTATATATATATATATTCTGCAGAAGTATACATATATAAAATGTATGTATAAAATGGCCTAATGCAGACATCCATTGTATTGCAGTTATGAAATGAAGACATTTTGGAAACAACATTGTATCATAGTTCATGAATTTGCAGTGGATCTTTGTTCCTTTTTACTGTGGTATTTTAGAAATGAGTCTCAAGTTTGAAATTAGATCTGCCAAGTTGGAGTTTTGCTGCTTCAGCTTTGCACTGGGTGTCCGAATAAACCAGTATGAATGTAGTATTTGCCCTGTGTGAAGCAGCTATACCCCAACAGATAGGAGGAAAAAAACCTAGAAAGAACTATTTCAAGTTTATCTTTTTGTATATGAAAATAAACAGTAAATTACAAAGAACTGTTTCCCTCGTTGGTGTGACATTAAAACTCATTGTTATTTTATTGTCTGTGTCATCCAGCTGGAGAATTTCCTTCTCATAGATGTTTTTGGTGTTTCAATGGTGTTTCTGCTATCCAAAAATCCTTAAAAAGTCCCTGCAGAAGCATAGCTGAGGCCTGCCTCTACTACCTGTTATTTGCAAACACTTTCAAAGAGAAGAGTGAATTAGTTCAAATAGAATCTTAGAATGGTTTGGATTGAAAGGGACATTAAAGATCATCTAGTTCCAACMCCCCCRCCAAGWGACACCATTCGCTATCCCAGGTTSCTCCAAGCCCCATCCARCCTGGCTTTAACACTTCCAGAGGTGCGACATCCACAACCTGTGTCTTTTTATTATTACTATTATTTTTTTATTATTAAATTGCTTATTATTTAATTGCCCTTTTGAGTGTGTTGCCTCTGGTAGCATTGTGGTAACACTGCTTATCACTCCTTGCAAAGAACTGTTCACACAGAGCATTTTGTGCATGTTAAGCTGTATCATACAGGCCAGCAACACAGCTGCAACTGCCAGAAGTCAAAAGCAGGGAAACTTGACCAGGAAAAAGTTTAAAAAAAAAGAAAAAAAGAAAAAAAAAAGCAAAAAAAAAAAAAAAAAAGAAAAAAAAAAGCCTGAGTTGCTTGTACTCATAGCACCACACTGAGGTCTGTAATCCTCACAGGAGATAGGAAGATGCCCTCAGCCACACACTGAAGCATGGCCAGAGCTCTCCAGGAAAGTTGGCTACAATAAYATGATGGTGTGGCCATGAAATCCTCTGGTGTTCTGGTGTTTTCCTCGCTAAATKGGTCCTTTTGTTCAGAAAAAAATGCCTCTGGCTTGGTGCAGGGTTGGATATGCTTAGTGTGGAGAGATATGGGTCAAATATGAACATTAGCAAGCATTTGGGAGGGAAAAATAGTAATGGGCTGGTAATTTTCCTGAAAAGAAGCCCAATGTAACACCATCCTTTACTGATTAAAGGCAACCCCATAGCAAGGAGCAATCTTCAGCTCCTTGTTTAGCCTGGAGAAGAGAAGGCTCTGGGGAGATCCTACAGTGACCTACCAGCACCTAAAGGGGACTTGTAAGAAAGATGGGGACAAACTTTTTAACAGGGCCTGTTGTGATAGGACAAGGGGAAATGGTTTTAAACCAAAGGAGGCTTGATTTAAATTAGATACAAGGAAATGTTTTAAAATGAAGATGGTGAGGCACTGGCACAGGTTGCTCAGAGAGGTGGAAACATTCAAGATCAGGTTGGATGGGGCTCTGAGCAACCTGGTGTGGCTAAAAGTGTCCCTGCTCATTGCAGAGGGGTTGGACCATCACAGAATCACAGAATTGTTTGGGATAGAAGGAACGTCTGGAGATCACACAGTCCAACACCCATGCCAAGGCAGGGTCACACACAGTAGGTGACGTAGGAATGTGTCCAGGTGGGTTYGGAACATCTCCCAAGAGGGAAAAGGAAAACTGTGACCTCCCTGGTCCAGTGCTCTGCCAACCTCATTGTAAAGAAGTCTATCCTCATGCTGAGGTGAAACTTCTTGTGGTTTAGTTTATGGCCATGACTCCTCATCCTGTTGCTGGGCACCACTGAAAACAGTCCAGCATCGTCCTCTCGGCACTCATCTTTGGAATATTTATATGGATTAACAAGARCCTCTCTCTAGACTCAACAGACCCAGCTTCTACAGTCTGTCCTCCTAAGGGAGATGAGCGTTTCTCCTCTAAGTAAAGACTTCAAAGGTCCTTTCTGACCCAAACCATTCTACGGTCCTATGATTCAACAACCTTTTGCATTTGGAGGCCAGGGTGGTCGCMCCAGCCAAGCTGGATGGGCGCAGTTTACCCACCCACCCCGGGACAGTCTCTGTAGTCCTCGCGAGGGGACACACTCTATTTTTCCACAGCTCTAGGGCAAATCCCTCCGGTCTCGTTCTCCTCCCGCCGTGTCCCGCACTGAGGCGATGGCGCCGGGTTCATTCTCCTCCCGCCGTGTCCCGCACTGAGGCGATGCCGCCGGGTTCATTCCCCTCCCGCCGTGTCCCGCACTGAGGCGATGCCGCCAGGCTCATTCCCCTCCCGCCGTGTCCCCGCACTGAGGCGATGCCGCCGGGCTCATTCCCCTCCCGCCGTGTCCCGCACTGAGGCGATGCCGCCGGGTTCATTCCCCTCCCGCCGTGTCCCGCACTGAAGCGATGCCGCCGGGCTCATTCGCCGTGTCCCGCACTGAGGCGATGCCGCCGGGCTCATTCGCCGTGTCCCGCACTGAGGCGATGCCGCCATGGCGCCCCGGGGTTGTGCCGTGAGGGGGCGCTGTGGGGCCGCCCCCGCCCCTTCCCTTGGCTTCCCTTCCCTTCCCGCCGCCGCCATGGCGGCCTTGCCCCGCCACCGCCGCTTTCTCGGCGGCTTCGTCTGCGGGGCCGCGGCCGGGGCCGCCGCGTCCTGYTGGGCTGCCTGGCGGCTCCTTCGCAGCCAGAGCCAGCCGGAGCTGGGCCCCGGGCGGGCCCCGGCAGAGGGTAAGAGCCGCGGGAAGCAGGGAGGCCGGGGGCAGCGGCCCGGCGAGAGGGAGCGGCCGGCTCAGCGCGGTCCTGCATCCTGCAGCCTCGCTCCCCAAAGCCGCTTCTGCCTCTAAACCTTCTCCCTCCCCTCAGAAGAGCCATTTCCCTCCTTCCTCCCTTCCCGCGGTGCCCAAAAACTGCCGGGAGATCGGGAGATTCCCCCAGTGCCTGCGCCGGGCTGAGGGGGGAGGAGGTTATTGGAGGATGCTGGGCTGTAACTTGTAATTAAAAGCGCTTCCCATTGCACCTGCTCACGGTGTTRGTGGTAGAAGAGGAATGTGTATTAAGTTTTAAGCACACATTTCGGGTCAGACCATAACTAAATTTCAGCTGTTGCTGCCCTGGATGAGCCGAAGCTCCTTTATCAAATGTGGGGGCTGGTGGGGTTCAGGTGTGGGGGAGATGTTTGGGGCACCTGAGGAGTGAATGGTTTTCTCCGCAGCCTCAAGGCTTTAAAAGTACCGGATTGTTGGAAAAGCAGAGGAAGAATGGCTCTAAAAACAGAGTTGCTGTTGGACAGATGGCTGGAGAATGAACAAGACAGTAAGACGGATGTAAATATTCCTCCATGAGAGAAAATTATTGCTTGCAAAAACAGAGGAAGTCTCAGTTAAGCTTTCATTCATTCAGTGGAGTGTAAGCATTCCCAGTGAGGGCAAGACTTCCTTGTGCCCAGCTTGTAAATTTTAGTTTGTGAGGAGTTCGATTTCCAGCTCCAAAGAGTAAAATCTGTGTGTTGATCTCCTGTGTCTATAACTCCTTGTTGCCTGATTTGTCCCTGAATATCTGATAACTTTTCTTTTGCCTTCTGTAGGCATTAGAGTAGATGAGTTAGTCCTAGAGCTGAGATCCTCATGTTAAAACATGATGAGAACCTCAACTRTTTTGACAGATGAGAGTTATATGGGGTAGCTCTCCTAATATTTTTTCGGTCTTAATTGTGGCAGTAACCTGTACAGTATATTTACACCCAYTGAGATGTTTTTCTTACTGTCTTGTTTATGATCATATTTAATCTTTGGATGGCTTTCTGGTTTGTTTTCTTTTCTTTAGAACCAATAGAAGAGGCTCTGTTGGAAAGATACGGATTTCCTGAGGCTGGAACAGAGACCAGATGTTACACAAATCATGCACTGTCTTATGACCAGGCAAAACGGGTGCCTAGATGGGTGATTGAACACATTTCAAAACAAAAGACATTAGGTATGTAGGTGTTTATTTTCTTAGATTTGTGATGGCCTGACTGGGCTTTGCTGCTCACAGAATGTGGACCTTGGAGCAATTAGGGAGAAAAATCCTATAATGATATCTGGGAGGAAAGCTCAACTTACCTTTTTATAACACGAATGGAGAAAAGATGAAATAATTAAAATGAACCTTTCTTTACTTGATTTGGACCTGCAAAGTTGCTTGTGTGCATAAAAATGGCTCCTGCTTCCATGCTGTCGAGAGATAGCCAGTGGTAGCCAGAGCTTTTGATGTACGAAACTTAGAGATTTGCTCAGAATGGGAGGAGAATGTCCATTTGTGAGAGGAAAATGGAGCAAAGGGCATGAACAGTTGTRATTGTTCAGAGCTAGGTAGGGCATTACCTCGTCACTGTGGCCATTATTTATTCTGATGCAGTTCTGTTGTAGTTCCTGATGTGCTTTATCTCATACTCTCTCTCCTCTTCTTTATGCAAGATAGAGGCTTAGTGATTTTTTGCTGTCAGTGGTGAACGAAATATGAGTGGTACACAGTCATTGTAAATTAAGTTTATAGCATTAGTTCAATTTTAATAAGGCAGATTATTAGTAATGGAGGTAACCATGTAATTGTAAAATGTTTTATGAAAGCAATAGCCCTCTAAATATATCTTAATCACTGTCTTCAAATTACCTTTCAAAATTAAAAGCATGGTCTTGAAAACACTATGACCAACCCCTAAGTAGCATCATTGATCCCACTTCTTTCTGAAAAGGAAACAGTAATTTCAGGTTTACTTTCAAGTGGGCCTTAATGGCTGAATTGTTAAAATGTTTCCAAACAATCAGATACAACTAACCTGCAAGTTGAAATAAAGCATCTTGAGGCATTCAGCTCTGATTTATGTCTGTAGCTACTTGAATTGAGATTTGAGGCAGACCTRTATTGTTTGGGGAACATTGAAAAGTCATGAAGCAAAAAAACCATGTATTTTATTGGTAAGTAAGAACTTAAATATACTTAAAACACATGGCAGAAAGAAATTAGCATTACCTGTAAATGAGATATATAGAATTTAGATTGTGTTGAATCCTTAAGCAYGGGTCATTTGGCAAGACATGACAGAATTAGACCTTTTTGCCTTGTGTTTATGATGGTTTAATGAAAGCCTAACCATTTAATGTATTATTCCTCAGGTGATGCAGATCGAAGGCACTGTAAATTCCGACCAGATCCTAACATCCCTCTGATGTTCAGTGCTGTCAATGAAGATTACCTTGGCAGTGGATGGTCACGAGGACACATGGCACCAGCTGGAGATAACAAATTTTCAACAGTAGGATTTTTTCTTCCCATCTTTTTAATTTGTGTTTATGAGCTGGAAAGGGTCAAAAAAACATTAAAAGTAATGTGCAACGTTCCTTTTGCAGTTTGTTTTGAGGTGGAACATGATGTCATTATTGATGCACAGAGCTGGATTTGGAGTTACAAGGTCTATTCCTGACTGAGCCATGTAGGATGTTCTCACAGTCTGCTTCAGGCATCTAAATCAGGTGCACGCTCTGATGACATACTTCTCTTCATTAAATCACACCTAGATCAGCTTGTTTGGCAGAGATGATGTCTTGAACARTGTGGTGTTAGGCAAGCCATCTCAGCCTCTTGTATGTCACATTGGCCATCTGTAAAATGAAGATGATAACCTTCACCAAGAAAACCCTGAAAGTCTTCAAAGCTCAGTTAAAGGGAGACAGGGAAAATGATGTCATTCTGTCCAACAGCTGCTGAGGTATTTAAGGCTACACTGGGCAAAGCGAAGATGCTGTTAAGTACTGTTGTGTATTGGCAAGGGGATTGCCTGGATGATTTAAAAGGCTTTTTCCTTTCTTTCAATGTGTATGAGGTAAATTAGACCCTTTTGCTATAGTTCTTTCAGTCTATAAAATGTCTTCACCTGCCATTTATTTGAGCTGTAAGAGAAACATGCCTTAATGCCTTAGCTGACTTACAAAGCAGCCTTGAATTTATTGGATCCTCATGTGAAATGTGCCTAATGCAGCAATTTGTTAATTAAGAAGCAGTTTGAATTTGTATTTCTCTCAGGCAGAATAGTATTCAGTGGGGTGGWGTGACAGCGCAGTGGCATATGGTAAACGGAAGAATCAGTAGTTTTATTTCTATTGAAAGTGTCTTGTTATTTATTTCTGATATCTGGGGTATTTTTGCTGGTGAGCTCGCTGTGCACAAAGATCCTGGACCTGGCTTGAAATGCAGTGAGATGATACAATCTTTCAAATACAGGATTATAAAAATTTAATTTCATGGTCTAATTAGTTCAGGTAGTGTTTRCTCATTGTCCTAAAGAGTTCTGTCAGTCCCTTCACTTTGCAGTAGCAGTATCTGAAAAATATTCATAAGTRCAGGACCTGTGAAAATTCTGGGCTAAGATCTTGGAATTTTTTCCATCTATATTACCCTGCATATGCATAATGTTTTAGCACCGGGTCCTTCATTTCTGGAGGTGTGTGAGTTTCTGTTCAGAGATGTTTGTGACACTTTTACAAGATGAAATTAAGTAGATATATGGATGTTTGACCATTATGGTCTCATAAATCATTTCATTGCCTGTACATTATGTATTTGTAAAATATTGATGAGTATATCTARTAAAACTTTTTCTTCTAAAGGAAAGAAGTTAGTCATTAGGCAGTCAAATAAATGAAAAGCATGTGTGAAAGTGTCCTTCCCATTCAAAATGAAAAATGACTAGTTGCTTTCAAAGACATTACCAAACTGACACTGGGTGACATAGCAATTCCTGTGCCTCTAGATTTAGGCATTTTTGTGCTGTTCCTGCCTTAAAAAAAAGTAGAAAATTTTGCAAGGTTTCACCTCAGTTATGCATCTCTTAATCTGAAATAATTTTGTAGGTGTTCTGACTCAGGTTTTATCTGACCTTTCATGTTAATAAATGTTTAAACTAGAAATGGGATTCTCTCCCAAAAACTGCTGAAATGTGTTCTCMGCTCGTAAATGTTTCAGAGAAATGATACTTTTTCTTTCTCTATGCAGAGAGCTATGGCCGAAACATTTTATTTGTCAAACATTGTGCCTCAGAATTATGAAAACAATGCTGGGTTTTGGAACAGGTGAGAAGTAACTTGTAAGTAAACTAAGAGAAAAATACCAGGCAGCAGCATCAATCAAAAAAGGCTTTATTTATAAAGCTTCTTCACATCCAGGTGAAGATGGTYACTTTATTGGCTAACCATAGAGATCGTAGGAGCTTTTGCTGAAATGAAAGGCAGCTCARTCCTCTCAGTCCTAGGACAGTATAATGACTGCTTTAGTTCTTTATTCTGTCAAGCTGTCAAGGACATYTATTTAGGATAGATAAAACTACTTCTTCTGGCTTCTTCTGGCTGATGTGGGGTAAAAGTACCGGGCTTAACATGTCTATGCTTAAGGAAGTTTCAGCAAAAGCAAGGAGTGGGTTTAGATCTTCCTCAAAGAAGCACTTGCAGTGAGAGTATTCCCATGTCTGTGTGTGGATGTTGGCTCCCTTTGAATCGGAGAACTGAGCACTCCCCACTGAGTTGTCACTGCTTCAGGTCTGAGGTGTTCCTTCAGGTCCTGGCTCCCAAGGAGCAGTCAGGCGGGATCTCTGTCACTTGTCAGTGCTGACTGGATCGCCTTTGAGGTGGAGTGGTTGATAAATTTAAACTTGCTTCATGTAAGATTTTTATTCTTTCCTTCCTTTGTGCAGYGAACATTATAAAAGTAGCATTCATCCAGTGCTTCTTGCATAGGACTTACAGAATGTGAAGGCTCAGAAACAGGAGGGGAAAATGATAGATTTCTCAAGGGAAGATTAGCAAGATTATATACAGTGTTGTACTGAAGTCCATCAAAAGTACGTCATCATTCATTTACACCTTGCTYTCCTGTTTTATAAGAATGTGTATAAAATGAGATGAGGCATTCAGTAAGGTTATATTGTTTCATAGACAAATAAAACGCCATAAAATTTTAAGAGGGTTATTTTCTTAATAACTCAAGTGTTTGAGCATAAATCTTCCTTATACCAAAGCTAAACATGTGTACCAATTTGAGGTAAGGGAAACCCTCTTTATTTCCCTGAAGCAGAATTTTTGCCTAATCAGGAAATTGTGGGGTGTTTGAAAATTTCCTCTGGCACTATCAACCTTGCAATTTGCCACTTTTCCCCAACCCCAGCACCTTGTTCCCAGAGCTTAAATGCATGAACAAGGCAGTGATGCCACTTTTTTTGTTAGTCATTTCTTTTATAATAATATTTTTTAAGGATGCCATATTTCACATGTATTGTATCCTTTCCTAGCTTCAATATTTTCTTCCTTTGTTGTGTTTTAATTGCCTGTTTCTTGAATTGTCTTCTGAGGGTTAAGGTAGACAGGTAGACAATGCAGCTTAGTCAGTTTAAACATCTGTTGTTTTCTAAAGTGGTGTTTGCCCTCCTGCCTTGTGTTTTTGCTGCTTTCCGAGTTCYAACTCTGGTAGTAACCTCACTGGTGAGTTAGTTTCATTTGCTAGCCCAATTAAAAACTGATTCTCATTTTGTTTTGCTTGGTTATGTTTCTGCCAGATTAGAAAATTGGATCAGCTAATGAGATCAGTTCCAGAACCTACACCGAAGATGGATTAGGATTGGTCAACTGGGACAGACAAAGGGATTAGTAGGAAAGGGGAGAGCAGGACTATAATCATCCAGCAAGCTGTTAGATAGTAAACTGTTGGCTCAGTGGTATGGTCTGACTGCGCCTTAGTATTCCTCCTTCTCTTCCAAACAAAGTGCTTCTTTCTTTCTTTCCTGATACTTACTATTTTCTGTTTTAAGTGTGATTTCATGGTCACTGTATCCGACCTRTGTCCCTCCTGCCACCAAGAACAGTTTGCTTTCTAGCTGCATTTATTCCCATTCTTTCCAAGTGGTGTTTGTATTGCCAGGCCATGAGACAGCCTGAGGAGCTGAGCTGCCTGGAAGCAAAGCTGGTGACAGCAGGAAGAATACCACCTTGTAGTCAATGCTTTGGTGTATCACGTGAAGAAAAGGCTCATTCTTGCTGATTTAACTCACTAACCCAGCACAAAAAAAAATTGGGTTGTTGACAGATGAAGAATGCTCATGTGGCCCGAGGGAGAGGTGTGAGGAACAGGAATGAGACAGAGAAGGGGACAACCTGCCCCTGCCCCCTTCAGAGGCAGCCAGATTAGCTGGGATAATCTGTCTGATACTGTCTGTCCATTTGTGTGAAGTGCACCTCTTACCTTTGTAGAGGACCAATGCTTGTTCACTGTGATTTCTGTAACAGTTGAGTGTTAAATCAAAGATCAAATAGTAGAATTATTGAATTATTTAAATTGGAAGGGACCGTGAAGATCACCTAGTTTCAGCTGCCCTGCCATGGGCAGGGRCAGCTTCCCCTAGATCAGATTGCTCAAAGCCCCATCCAGCCTGGCCTTGTTAATCTTCTGTTTTATGTAACATAGATGTGGTCCAGAAACCTTCTTATCTGAGAAATATATGCTGTAAATGGAATCAATTAGTTTAAAAAGCAAAAATAATGGTAGTGTTYCTGGAGTTACTACTTTATTTTTGAYCAGTTTTATATATTTTTTAAAAAGGCAGAGTTAGTGGGAATGGCACACAGAAACTTTCCTCAGTACTTGTTGTACTGTGTTGCAGGACTTTGATTCCTTGGGGAGAAACAYGCAAATCTAATAATAAGATAAAACCTTTCAAAGTAAGAATGCTGCAACCTGCTGTTTAAAGCARTTCTATTTTACTAATCCCAAGTGACCATCAACAGTATATTTSTAGTGTCAAGTGTGGGAGTAAGTGGAGAACTCAGCTATTCAGACATGTGGTAAGGCTGCAGAAACCATTTTCAGATGTGTGCAGTAAGGTGTCTATRTGTAAATAAATGAACATTATTTACAGAGGACAAAAAGGAAGCAGGACTTGGGCCTGCATTTTACCTTCTTTGGCTTGTGAGTGAGTCAGATGAGTCTGGAAGAATGGTCCCTGTCAGTAATTCACCCTTCCCTTCGCAGTAGGTCTCAAAGATTAAGTTTCCCAGCTGACTTTTCCCTATCTGAAAAATATGTTCCAGAATGGAAATGTATTGCCGGGAATTGACTGAGAGATTTGAAGATGTTTGGGTGGTTTCTGGACCTCTTACCTTGCCTCAAACTAATGGTGATGGAAAGAAGAGTGTTACTTATCAGGTATGTATGTATGTATGTTGCTGGGATAATAGTGCAGCGGTAAATGTATTTCTTTAAAATTGACATTCTAATTTGATAAACCAAAATTTGGATATCTTAGTACATGCAAAATGTACAAAATGTCCAATTTCTTGTCTTGTTGGGACAAGAACAGCAGAAATGTTACATCATGCCTATACATGAAAAAGGATAATTTTAAAATAATTTATTTACAGACATCTATTTCATGTCCACAGTCTGCAGTAAAACTGTCTATCGAAGCAGAGTTAGTGAGGTTTGCTGATGCACAGGCATCTATTCAATCAATTACTTGATATACTTTAGAGACAGGGCAATGCAAGGTATTATGGGGCTCTCAAAACTATACAAAGTATTGGAGTGCCTGTGCTCTGTTAATTGCACAAATGGTTGTTTGCTGCTATCCCATAGGCATCACTTGGATGAGGCCTTGCAACTGMGATTCTGAGCATGCCAGAGTCACTTGGAAGGCTTTATTTAARTGCAGTGTGATCACTGGTCAATGGTACTGATATTCCATTTCTTTTAGTCTCCCGTTTTTATTACCTGCTTAAAATACTGTGTTTAAAGTTGATCATGCATAGTCTGTAGAAACCATCACTGAGAGTCAGATGGGACAGACTATCAAGTAGAGAGGTGAATTTATTATTGCTTATCCAGACTTACTCTTTCTAGGTTTGTGTTTAGACATCTGTAAGGTTTGAGCATCGTAAGTTATTAAAGGGAATGTTACCTTCTGCCCCCACTGCAATGAGATATTATTGCTATTTTCAGTTGCAGATGAAAGCTGGCATAATGCAAGTAATAAATGTTGCATTTTGCACCTCTTGTAAAAGCACTTTTCCTTGAAAATAAGTAGTTGGATCAACTGCAGCTTCAGCTTGTGAGTGATTCAGCTTCCAGCTAGTTCTCTGAGGAGCAATGAATGAGCTTGCCATAACAACCCCCTATTTCAGAGGGATGTGAGAGACACAAAAGAGAAAGATGTTCAGCTTTCAACACTGGCTTGTTTGGCAGTAAGAGTTAGGTGCTAATTCTCCTTTATAAATACACAGCTGATTTCCATTTGATTGAACTTGGAACTCAGTCATGAGAGAATGTGATTTTTCCTGTTTGCTTTAACCTTTTCACTTTCTTGAAAATCTGTCCCCACCCACACATATCAAACCTTGACTGTCATGAAAACATGGGTTTGGGTTTGTTTTGGGGGGTTATACATATGAAAATACAGTAATAATAAATTACATTTTTCATGTTTAGTGGCAGTTCCAAACTTCAGTTCTCACCACATCTTTGTGAGGGAGATGCAGACTGTGCTYATGGTGGATAAATGGTTACCTTTACCCCATGGTTAAGGGGTATGGCCAGTGCCAGATGCTAAGTTAGTGGCAAAGCCAGCTTTAGTTTGTCAATCATCCTGTGCCCCCCAAAGGTGCTTGCTCCACCATTGCCTGTTCTGCTTTTCTGGCCTTTCTCTGCCTTGCTCTTGTCTGCTAGCACTGATGACTGTCAGATTCTGCCACAAAATGCTTAATTACCCAGTGCAATAGAAAAAAGATCTGTGCTGGATTTGCAGGGCTTGTTTTATACTGCTGTAGAAAGATAGAGGCAGGACACAGAGTAGTCCAGTGATTCGTGGTGACAGACAGCATGAGATATGTCCAAAAGCACATAGCTGGGAGCAGGAGGGAGATCTTCCCTTTCAACAGTCTTCATCTGTGCATTTGGCTTTCTGTCACTCAGAATGGTACAGGCTTGCATAAAGCTTGCACAAAGTTCTCCAGGCTTGCACAAAGCTTGCTGGGATTTGCTTCCTTGTAGCTGTCAGGATATTGCGTTTATTTTTCATCCTTAAAAATATATATTCGTCTTACATAGCAAAAGATTAAAACTCCTGAGCTGATTTGAACATTTTATAAGTGGAAATCATTTCCAGGAAGAAGCTGAATCATCTATCAACTCTATGTATCAACAGCTTCACTTTAATCTTGCTCATCTTTTTCTCGTTTGTCTCCAGAGAAAGTATTTGCTTAGAAGAGAAAGATTGCATTTTCTGAAAAAATGATTGTCATTCTCAGTCTTGGTTTTGAAATGTAAATTTTAGTATTCCACAGGTAAAAATCACAGCAGGCACTGCGTCTTACTGGCTTTATTCGAAATAACTTGATACCAGGATCCAGTGATGAAATAATAGTGCACTAAATGCCTGTGCTGCTTTGATTGTCATCTTGTTAGGCCCTTGTCTTTTGTCTTCATCATCTTTGGGTTTGATGACAACACAGGTCTTTTAGGAGTGTTTTACCRGTTTTGGTCRGTTTGGTCACTGAACTGAAGTTCAGTGTGAGATTGAAAATGAGGGAATGATGGTGTTCCTGTCGGGGTGTCACCRCTTGTTCACATTCACAAATCCTTTTACTCATCTTCCTACAGTAAGATTCATTATGTAAATTGATTTTTATTTAAGTACAAATAATTGTGTCTCCAGGTGAGAAAAGTAAAATTATGATTTTATGGGTTTTTTGTTTRTTTGTTTAAAATATTAAATTGTTTGATATAGGTTCCCTAAATAAAGACAGGCTGACAATGTTTGTTTTTTTTTATTTTGAAATAATGGCTTTTGTGTTTTGCATTGCAGTTGTACTTTGAGGGGAGAGACTTCAGAGTGGAGTGGTGTATTGGTTTTTTTGGGGTTTTTTTTCTTTATCAACACATACACTTGGAGGAGGGAATACAACCTGTCAAAGCTCTAGAGAGAAGTTCTTTTCAAACAGACACCTTGGATATAATTGCAGTCATTGCCATTGATTTTGGTAGTCTGGGATTCTGCCCCTAAACGAAGGATTGTGAAGGGAAGGTATCTCTTAGCTGTCTTTCAGAGTGAATTCTGCTAAGTTCACACAAATTACTTCCAAATGAAAGGGATTTTAGTCCTCATTGTTTGGGCATGAGAAGCAGATGTGAGAAGATGTCCTTTCTTTTGTCAGTGTTGTTCAAGGAGAATGCTKCAGTACACAGAATAGTGCTGAAACTCACAACCTGTAATCTGCCAATGCCACTGTTAAGGCTCAGCTCCTCACTAATGTTTTTCTCTCAGAGTAGAACTGTGGCAGAAAAAACAAACATGTAAGTGCTACAGTGAATGTGTCTGCATTGATTTGTTTCAGATCCTCTCTTCAACCTAAGTTTCCTTGGTTTCTGCTAAAGGAATGGTGAAATAGTGTTTTTTCGTGCTGGTGTTTTTCTCGTCAGACATCCAAAAAGGTTGTTTTTAGATCTCTATAGAAGAAAAACAGAGCATTGGTCATGGCTTTGTTCCCAGTTCCTGCTTGGGSTCTGGTACCATTTGCTCTTTAATTCCAGAAAGGGAATTAACCTTGAACTTCTTAGGTGCCAGCATTGTTCTGTCTATTGGCTGAACTTGTGSTATCCTCAGATATGTTCTGTCATTTCATCTGTCTCCAGCGGAGATTTTTATTGCAAAGAGTAGATTGATGACTGTGCCTGATATCTGAAAAACRTATTTTGAGAATATATGTAGAATAGAATGCCAACAGGAAAAATCTGTTCWGTGTCATTGGAGAGGCAGATGCAGGTTTTTCATCTTTGTCCAGATCAAATCAAAATGACATTGTCTTGTTTTATACATGACTGCTCTCCAGTGACTGTCACTTTAGTGATTTTCCTCTGTCAGCAGATTTGGAGTTTGAAACACAAATTTTGCTATAATTAACTACATCATTCTCATACTCCATTCCCACCCATTCCCAATGCCATTGTGAATTCTAATTTAAGAAGAATCAACTGTGGTTGGCAAATGAAAATACAGTTTAGATAATAYTTTGTTTGTTGATTGAAAAAGACATTTGAATGTACTTTTTACTGATACATGAGATTCATACTGGGATTGTGTTTGCTGTTTAGTTTTCCAAATTGAATGACTAGGCTGAGCCAGAGAGGCACAATAACCATTCCAGAASATACAGTTGTCATCTGTGTCTGTGCCAAATAACAGGGGAAAAATTGCACCTCTCAAATACAAGATGGTACTTTATGGTTTTGCCTAGTTAATTTTCAAATCTAGTAGAGGTTGTCTCCTACTAAGATACCACAGGGGAAGGAATCCTTGTTAAAGGAAGAAATAAACCTGGGAACTACTCCTTTTTGTTGGCTGCTCCAGATGGTCCCAAGGCTAGAGAGGTGGATGTAGGTCCATTATAGATGTTCCATAAACTTTGTGCAAGGGGTTCGATCTTAGATCAGCTGGTGTAAAACACCTGAGCTCTGTCAGCCCTAAATTTAGACATGAGGTACAAATGAGTATGATAGACACTGGGTTAAGATGGGAGGAGGAGAGACACTGATGGTGCAGGACAGATTGATGGAATTGCTTTTATTTATCACTGCACTCACACAGAGACTGTGGTGGGTTCAGTGTTAAGTAATCTAAATGAATTCTGTTAAAGTAGTAGGCTCTCATGTACATATAGTTTATTACATACATAATGTGTATACATACACTCTTTATTAAAGAAAAACAAGAAGGAGTTGAGGTGTCTGTCTTTTAATGCCATTACTATTTGTTCAGGAACAGCTTTTTTTTATCGTCTCTTATTTATTTTTTTTCCTTTCCTTTTTAGGAATGCCAAGTGATTTGGCAATAGCAATCAGACCAGCCATAACAAATTTAATTTTCCTGAAGTACATACATTTGCATTTTTGAGTGCTTGGCTATGCAGAGTGTTAGTATGATTTTTATCTGTAATGTTTTCTGGTTTGTGTGTTGCTAGGTCTGCTTTCACACCCCTCAGTTGTTCTCGGTGCCATCTGACAGAGTTTTCTCAAATATTGGGGGAAAATACTCTCWGCAGAATCAGTGCTGCCCAACAAACCCAGAAGGAGCTTGAGTGAAGGCAGTTAATGCTGTCACAATGATTGAGTAAATAAAGCTACACTGATACCAAATGGAATGTTTTGTTCTGACA